AGTTACCATATGTTATATGTTACTATATGTTACTATAACATGCAATTTATATCTATTTATGACAATCGATAGGGTATACATAGGACGAAGCCTCTTGGCGCTGTGAATCGCACAGCAGGACATCGCCGGGCTGGCGACGAGTTTTGGCACTTCCGTGGCGCAATTCTTGAGCTTCGCACTGAGTGTGCCAGGCTCCCGAAATTTGGAGGGGTCCATAGGGGTCCTCTAAGGATCCATGAACATCATGAACGCTGAAAATGACCGGATGAATCTGGATGAATCGATTGATTCGATGGCTCCAATTTGGGACATTTGTTTCACAAATGTGCAACACAGCTGCATTTCTCTTGCTTCACCAACTTTGGTCAGGTATGCAACTGTCAGGGGTCGGCTGCCGCCAGATGCTTTTTGTCTTGGTATCTTGGTTCGTTGCTGTCGGGTGACCTGCCTTTTGTGTCTATTCTGTGGTTCCATACTGAATTTCAGAGGCAGCATGATAGTAGTTATCCATGAGGTTCAGAAGTGTTGACCAGAGCTGCTTTATCCCCGTTTCTTAAGTTGTAGAACTTCATAGAACTTCCATTTCAAGAGCAGATGTGAACATTTCATGTCTTTGTTTGAGTGTCGGAAGTTGTAAAAGCTCTACATTTGATGATGTGGCTATCCACATGTCTCTTTGATACCCTGCACAAGTTGCTGATGGCAAAAGGGAAGCCTGTGAGCTAGGTAAATGTTACGTAGGTCTCCATCCAGTCGACCAGTAATCTCGGCCTTAAAAAAAACGAGCACACTTCAACAATTGTGGGCTTGGAAGTGTTCCGCATGCCAGTGGCAACGATTTGCAGGTTTTGTTCAAACATTGATGTTTGATGATCCAGATCCGATCGATTCTGCTTTAGGACAGTCCTCCTGAGTCCACCTGGGACCCAAAAAATGGATGACCAACCGACCAACCGACCAACCAAATCCAAATGAGGCAATGAGATTCACATGACGTCGTATGACGTCGTATGACGTCGTTTTTGTGTTTGGAATATTTTGGAATCGGTTGAGACATGTTGAACTTCGGCCCAGGGCTCAGTGCTGCTGGCATTCCAAATTCTTTGCCTTGCACTATGTCACGGACTGCTGAGTTCGTCAGCAGAGTTTGATGAAACAGCCAGTGGTGCAGTGGTGAATGCAGATAATGTAGTGGACCTGATACAGGTGTTGGTTGTCTGCAAGCGTTCTCATGGATATATAGCAGTTGTTGCAGGTCAGTACACAGTGGGGAGGAATCATGCTACGCACGAGTTAACCGTTAACAGAATTCTCTCCATTTTTTCCACGATGCCAGACAGGAAGAAGAGACAGGTTTTGACCCACCAGAGCCTCAAACCAATACAAATCCTGGTTTCAAGTCGGTTCAAGCCCCCAAAAATGAGGTGTTTTATCATGTTTCCATATTCTCCCAGGAGCTATGGCGTGGAAATCCATTGGAGGTCTGGTGGGCCTGGGGGGGTTAGCTGCGAACCGCAAAGCAACTGATGAAAATTGTTGTCAAACCAATCTGATCAATCTGGTATCTTGATGAATGGACTTTCAGGCAGCAAGTCCCATGAGTGTTGAACTCCGATCTTGAGTAGCGGTACGGAGAGAACCTCTTTAATGCTGGTGAAAGAGTTATTTTAAAACTATGACAGATGCCTACAGCCACACGGCCAGAAGCATATGATCCATTTAGATATCCATTTATTCTATCGGTTTTGATCCACAAATTGTCCAGTGTAAAGACTTTTTCCCAAGACTCGGATGCAGCAAACAAACAATTCGTTTGTTCCATGTGGGTACCTGGTGTTGCTGGTGCGACTTTGTTACAGTCCTAGGGAATCTGCAGTTATTAATGGTCCCGAAGCAGAGGCACCGACACTGGGGATGATGAAATGATATGAAATGATATGAAATGATATGAAATGATATGAAATGATATGAAATGATATGAAATGATATGAAATGGATCAATGGCAAGACTGCACCTCTGACAGAAGTTTTTTCTGGGATTTGCACCATGCGTCAGGCCAGGCTGGCTTAACGGACAATCCAGGCTGACGCTGAACTCGCGAACTCGCGAACGTGACTCCCGGAATCGGGAATCAAAGTCTCTTCGAAAATGAAAGTTTCGTCTCCGAATCTTATGCCGCTTCCTAGTATTTCATAGAAACGAATCATAGTTGATTTGAACTCTAACCATGGTCACCAGGGTGTCCCAAACTTGGGGACCCAACATGCCCAGAGCGGTGACCTCACCGACCTGGATTTGGAGAAAACACAACGGCCGAGGCATTTTATTCCTGAGATATCCCGGAATTTTAGCAGGAACCTGGTTGAACCTGGTTTTGCTTGTGGCAAATCCAGCTCTGCACTGGGCTTAGACGGCCATTGCGATCCAAGACTTGAGGTGTGAAAAAAGGCCAGTGCTCAAGAAAGGGCTTGGTGGTTTCGAGTAAAATCTACAAATCATATAGCGGGAACAGCAGGAAAATAGACTACAGCCCTCCAAAACAAAAAATGGTTAGTAGTTGTGTCAGATTGTATTTGCATGTATTTGCATTGTTTTCCGTCCTGATCTAAACTGTGATCCGAACAGGGTGTTGCCAGCAGTCAGCATTCGGTTGAAAAGTTGAGCATGAGCCACTCCAAATCAACCGATCAAAGAGAGTGTCTTGGGATAATCAGAGGAAGGCATTTGGAAGGATTCATGACAAAATAGCGCGAGCTGTGTTACAGGTGTCTCCCACTTTGAGACCCATAGATCTGTGGAATTCCTTTTCGACCTGATGGTCCTTTCACCCCTCAAAATCAGGACTCCTTGTGACCGACGCAAGTACCATTCCGAGACTGAAGAGGACTCACAACTCTCAAAACTCTCATTTTGTTTGTCACTTCTGGGTACAGCGGAACCGTTAGATAAGAACCGATTAAGAATTTTCCAGCCTACCCTGGGGTTCTTAAGTGCTAAGAAAATATGGAAATAATGAACGAGGGCACCCTCAAGTTCTTAATAGGTTAGTTCTTAAGGGGTTCATATGGTGAGGGTTTTGCCAATTCATTTTGGCGTGGTATTAGGTTGCAAAGGAGGCCGCGGGAAAAAAAACATTTTAGGTCCCGAAAAGTTTCTTCAGGTGCCGGCATTCCAAACAGAGCTATAGGCCAGATATTCCACCATGCCGGGGCTTGAAAGTTTATTTTGGCGTGCTATTAGGTTGCAAAGGAGGGGAGGGATGAAAAATCTTTCAAGTCCCGAAAAGTTTTTTCAGATGCAGGCCTCTCAAACAGGCAGCACAGGCAAGACAAGCCAACACAAGCCAAGGGCAGCCTCCAACGTCAGATGACCATCAGTGAGTCCGGCTGGTGTCTAGGTAAAGCTGGCGATAGCAGCCTTAGTAACTTCGTAGGAGTTCGGATCTCCCGAGCGCGGCACCATGTTTGTCAAAATTATTCTTTCGGGAATTGACAATAATCAATGTTTGGTATATTGATATCCGTTAAATAAAGGAATAAAAAGCAGCGGCTAGAATTCCAGGGTACCCTAGGGTTCTTATTTGAATTAGCTGACAGAAAGGGTTGAATGCAGCAATCCAGCCCCTGAAGTTCTTATTGCAGTAGGTTCTTAAACAGCGGGTTCACTGTACAACCGTCATGTTCTCCTGTGATTCCATGTGATTCCCACAGTGTGTCGGGTGCGTTTGCAGTTCCGTTCCGAGGCTGGGGATGGCGTCGAGGAGGAGACGGCGCGAGTACCTTGGCATAGCCTTGGACCTGCAGCGGAACCGAACGACCCTTTTGGGCATCTTGGGCCAAGGGCCACTTTTTTTCGAATCTTTCGAAACCGCTCTTCATTGCTCTTATCATGACCTTATCATTTCCCCGGCTTGGTGGTCCCTTCATTTGAGAACGTGTGACATGGTTGAAGCTTATCAGACTGTATGATTTTTTACAAGTTGATGCGTCACTATGACCCATACAAAATTATCCCAAGAATGAAATCATGGAATGAGAATATCTGGCGCACAAAGCAAACGGGAGTGCTGAATTTCTTGGCATGCCATCTTATCTACTGACTATACCTGGCCAGTTCCAAAGTTCTGGTTCCATGATGTCCCATGCTTGATTGGAGATGGTTTTGAGTCCGGAACATGTTGAAACGTTTTGGCCACTGTCAAGACGGTTGGGCCTCTGCAATCCCGGAAACTTTGCAGGGCGACGTGATGATTTATGCCAAAGTCCATCTCAAGCCTCAACCCAAAGATCCCAAAGTCCAAAAATATGTCGGAAAATGTCACCACTTTGTTCCAAAAAAGGTGGAAATGAAAATATAAAAGTTGCTTCAAGTTGCTTTAAGTCTTTCTCGAAAGACAGCACAACATAACAACAGCCGCACGTTTCCGGCTCCGGCACCCTTGGCCCGGCTTCGCCCAGGCCGTGGAGCCGGAGATGAAGATCTCCATCGTCCGGGTCAAGGCCCAGCCCAGGAAGCACAAGGCGTGGCACCCGGCACGACCCACGGGGGGGGCCCTTGGAATGTTGGGATGTGATCCGAGAATATGATGTGATAGGTAGATAAAAGGCATCCACCTAGGCATCTTGTCGAAATGTGTTATAAAGTGTCTTGCCAATCGCACGTAGAAAGACACGGAGGAGTCTAGATTCGAATCTTTTTGAGACAAACAGTTTCTGGGATGCGAAATCGGTAACTGCTCAACCCACGGTCAGCTTGTAGGACGGGGTATGCACCAGTTTGGAATAGGTTGGACATTCCGCTGAACCAAACACAGATGAATGGGAGGTATTCCATGCTGCTTCTCACCATCCAAATCACTCGTTTCACTCCTGCATCGCAAGTCTTTTCGTGTCCTTTCACAGGTCTGTAAGGTTGAACCGAGAGCCAACTTTGGCACCGCTGTTTCTTGAAGGTGATCTCCTACGGCTACCGGAAGCTGGTCGATGGCGAAGTGCCAGAGATGTATCGCTTTCAGTGCGCCAGAGTCGACCCTGAAATCTAGCTATTTGCGATTGGTTATCACAGATCTACAAGGGCGGTGGAAGAATCCAATCATTGCAAAAAGGCCATGCAAATCATGTAGATTCTTGGGCAGAATACTTGTTGGCTGATCTATCATTAATACAATCCCATTGGTGTGGTATTCAACAGTCACTTCGTTGAATATCACCAGATGTGGTCCAGGTGGTCTTGAAGCCAAGTTCAACCAAGAGTAGAAAGGGTATTTTTTGCCTGTTCTGATCTCTGATCAAGTGGTGTTTTGTTTCAGTTTGTCCCAGGGAATGGCCAATTCCCAAGCCCAACTGCAGGTATTTACCAGATCCCGACCTTCCTGAAGACTTACATCCCGGCGTCCGGATTCGCAGACAACGGCGGGCACATACGGGTACTCCAAAATCTTGGACAACCCAAAATCTGCAAATTGTCCGTTTCTGGGTTGATGAAATATGATGAAATCAGTTGTTGAACCGTTCTCACCTGAAGCTCAACCTTGACCTTTCTGCTAGGGTGCTAAGGGTAGAACTTGTTGTGGATACATAATTCGTGGGTCCAAGGTAGTCCGACCATCACTGAGGCGTTTCAACATGTGTTGGTTTTCAACATGGGGCTGTGGGCAGTTGGTTTTTTGATGTTTTTTGGTTGTTACAGTTGGGCGGCTGTCAGTACTTGGCCATTTGGTGAGGTGATTCCTGCGGGCTTTTCAGCCTGTGTGCCAGTGGATCAAGACATGGTTCCTTGGACCGCAGATCACGAACTGATTTGGTTCCTACATACTATATACATGTTGACCTTTCGGTGATGTAGCAGTTTGGTGTCAGGTCAAATCAACAACACATGACATACATAACGACACTTTCCCTTGATGGATTCCCAGTGTTGGATAGCTCCAGGTGTTCGCAGGGGATGTGTTATCATTTTTTAAGGTTTTCAGCCAGATAGAAGCCTAACCAGCCTGCTGAAGCCAATGTGCGGAACAAGCGTACTTCGGAACGGGGTCTCGACCTTGCTGGGGGAAGATCATCCGAATTGACTTGACCTAATGACATGGTCAGGAACAATTCCCAAGCGACCCGAAATCAGAGTATGAACAGGATGTGAGTAGGGGGGTATGCTCTTACTGAGTCGTCTGCCTCCAATAAAAAAGGATCACAACCGCAGGTCTACTTTCACACCAGAGAAGGCGACACGGGTCCAGAGTACCAGGTGGTGTGCGCCCAGCAGGCGGCAGAGGATTGGTATCATCACTAGAAGGATTCCGTGTGTTGATAGAATAAGTGAAAAAAACAACTGATGTTACTGTCAGTTACTGTCAGTTACTGTTGTAAAATGCATTCCCGCCTTTGCTTGAGTGGGTTCACGCTGGCCACCATGGTTGCCAACCGCAAAGGTTCTGACTTGGTACCAACCTGTTAGACATTGAATTTATTGGATCCAGATGCGGGCGCTAGCAAATTACCGATAGTTGCGAAAATGTATTATTTCATTCACACGGCTTCAGACATACTTCAGACATTTCCAAAATCTGGATCTTCATGATCTTCGGATATCCTCCAGGTACACTCAACCAGATCCAGCTGGAGGTGATATTCCAGCGCACTCAATGGTCCTTGAATGGTGGGGCCAGCTCAGCTCAAGCTTCAGATCCATTCAGCCTGCGTCTGCCAGAGATTGGAACCGTTGGAACCCCCATGATTTCCTGACAATATTTTCTCCACTTTGTATTTCAGATGTACATTTCCCCCAGCTGTGGCACAGGACCAATGATGTCGATGCTATTTGGGTCGAGGCAGGGCAGGTTTGCAACAGATCTGCAAGGACTGCAAGGATGGTGAAGATACTGAGATACTGAGAGGACACTGAGATGTTGATATGATTGATATGATTTATATGATGTATAGTAATTGAATTTAATTATTGATAGTAATTGCTTGAAACATCTTGAATCATCTATGATGAATTCGTCTTTTGACGCCACCAGGCCCTGCAGCAGCTGGAGGACAATGCAGGTCTTTCAGAGGAGAGAAGATTGGACGACTAGTCGTGACATGTCATGAAGACTTGACAGAAGATGAGTAGAACTGTCTTCAGAAAAGATCAGACATCTGATGACATCTGCAAAAATTACGACATGAACTGATGTGAGTGGATTATAGTGGATTTGCGAATTTATACCTAGACCGTTCCGTACTGATTAGATTGACAATCAAGTGAAACGACCGCTATCTTTTTTGTGCCTGTTTGATCATATGCTTTATATGCTTTGTGTCACATGACTTTCGTCGATTCGTGTGATTTATGTTGGCGCCGCTGCACAGCTGAAAGATCAATGCTGTCACAAAAGCCTTGCATGGGTCGACGCAAAGCGAGCCACTACTAGCCTGTGCAGACTCACGATGACAATCTTTTCATATGAATATATAAACTAGATGTATCATGATGAGTCCTTGTTCCTGAGACAATGCAATCTCATTTTGGCGCACTCCAAACCCTCGCTCGTGTTCTCACGTCAGTTGCAGTGTTCTCATGCCCCAACACACAGCACGCAACGCTCGTATTATTTGCCGCAAAGAATACACATCAGCAGGCGTTGTGAGAAAGTAAGCCAGCTTTTGGATGACACGCGCTACATATTTGCTCTGAAATCTACCTTCCAAAACAGAGTGAAGAAGACTGCTTTGCAAACCACTCTACTACGAGTGCAATAATGACCGACTCAGCCTCAGCAACATGTCCTTTGAATTCCCAATACCAGGAGGCAGACCCGTTCACCCTCCACTTTCAACAAAAACACACACCTTCTTTGAGCATTGGCACATGCTGACGCCATGGACGCTGCTTCCTTTCGCCTTGGCTTTCTTGGACGAGGCAGAAAGACGAACCCGGAAAGACAAATTCTGTCAAGATCTATCTATTGCAGAATACCAGCTGATGGGTTGGCCCCAACCTTGCTACAGATTTTTCACAGGCAGATGTCGTCTTGGTATGCCTGTGCCAAGATGTGCCAAGTCAAAGTGAGAAGTTGGAAATGGTTGGACCAAGTATGAAGAAGTTCAATTCTACGGATGGGGCGCTTAAATAGCTTTAACTTTCTGACTTTCCAGCGCTGCCTGAGAGGAAAAACATTGCCAAAAATTCGGGATCTCATCTATTCCCACCAAACGCCATGACCCTGATCCAATCACCAGGTAGAAGATGGACCCCCTCAGATGACATCTGATTGGTCTGGAGGCCCAAAGGTGACACAGCTGACACAGGTGGTTGGTCATTGCATGAGTCATAGATATATCAGATATGGGAAATATTGCCAGTAATGACTCAGTAATGGCCAGCTGCTGAAAGCTTAGCCAAAACGTTTCAGGTTTCTTCAGGTTTCAGTGTCTGAAGGGTGTCTGAAGGGTGTCAGCAGGTGGGACCTGCATTATGTGGAGACTCTGGAAGACATTGACCTTACAGTGGATCCACGCGAGGCCGCACCGATGGTGCACCGGTGGTTTCGGTTTCCAAAACAACCAGGGCCACCATGGCAGACCAGGGTATCAGCAAAATCAGATGGAAAAAACATATGGAAAGCAGGACTAAGCTGGATGAATTTCTGGACATTGGATATCAACCAGGATTGGATGGTTGGATGCAAGGGCACCATTTCCTAGGTGCCCCGAAAAGGTCTTCAATCATCTGTCGTTGCAGCATGTTGCAGCATGTTGCAGCATTCAGTCCCTGCTTCTCAACAGATGCCACCATACTCCCGTCTCAGCTTGGGCTCAAACCGTAGCTTTTGGGTACACAAAGACAGGCGGCCTTGGGTTGTCTGAACAGCGCAAGCAATGACCATTGGTGCCAGGAATAGTAGTAGAAAATGTAGAAACAGGTACAACCCCCCAAGGTTCTGAGGTCCGTACTTGAGATGTTTGGAGCTTCTCAAATCTTAGCATCAAAGTCTCCAAAAGTAGAAAAAGACTGGCAGACTGGCCCTTTCCCAACCCAAAGTCTTTCCACTCAGAGCACCAGGCCATGAACGGCTATGCTTTGCATTGGGTCTTTAGGACCTCCCAGCTGAAGCCAACCTTGGACTTTCTCGAACAAGTCCTGGGAATGTCAGCAGCTGAGACATGCTGAGACTAAGGGTTTTGAACCTAACGTTTGGGCTATTTTACCCCTCATGGGTGCTGTGTTTTTTGTGCTACGGTCCACCAAGATAGGCTTCACACTTAGCCTCTTGATCAACAAATTTAACAACCACGTTACGCAGATTGGTGCGGCGGTTTGGCAAAGATCCTCCACAAGTTGCCCCAAATGCCCATTCCTCACATTCCTGAGGCACGTGCTGAGGCACGAGGAGAACAGTGCTGCCTGAGGCCCTGTCGCCGTTGCCTGATCCCTGATCCTCACAACTTGATCGCCAGTTGATCACCAGTTGACCACCGGTTGACCACCAGTTATCACCAGATGACAGTTGTTCACTTCATGGAAATCATGTGAAATCATGATCTCCGGTTGACAGGAAGCTGGCATAATTTGATGTTCCGGACTTCCTTCTATCTACTGAAGAGTGTGAATGTACATGACGTCACATGCCCAATCGGGTTACTTAGAGTGTCTTAGATGTATGTGTCAAACCCTACAGAAGATGGCCCTTTCAGGTATGTGAACCTTGCACAGAACAGAAAAAGCTTTGGGCTCGGTAGTGCTCCCGTCCTTCCATGCGGAGGGTCCCCCTGAATTTGGCCATGTGACAGGTATCACCTGCAATGGGCCCTTTAAAACTGCATGGAGCAAAACGATGGTGGGATATGACCTTGAAGTGTCCTCGCTTTCAGTGGGGTGGGCACCAAGATCAAGTGGGATGTGGGCATAGACCCCTTGGGTGGTCCGATGCGAAAAGGAGATGCTGATTGAGAATTGACTCCATTAGGACATTGGGAGGTACATTTCCCTGCCACAACAAGGTTTTTCACAAAGTCCTGGTGCCAAAAGGAGAATGTCAGTGGATTGTAACATATTGTAACCATTCGGAACCTTCGGTTTGACAGATTCTCGAAGGTGGATCCTGAAGTCCTAGCTGATCCTAGCTGACACACGTGTGACTCCGTGCCCTCCGAGGACAGGGCTTATTGCATGGAGCTGACTTACAATTACGGAACCTGGGATCGCAGATCTTCAGATCGTTGCAGAACTAGTTTGGGTTACAAAAGTGCTTGTCGTGGCAGATGCTGCAAGGCCAGAAAGTTCTTAGAATTTCAGAATCTTCCAAATTTGGAAAGTCTGAGACAGTAAGAGCACCTAAAATCCAACAAACCATAGGAAAAAATGGAAAAAACAAGTTCAGGTCTGGGATTCACTTAGATTCACTTAGATTCACTTAGATTCACTTACGTGTCGTGGTTGTGGTTACACTTCGTGGTTACACTTCGTGGTTACACTGCGTCAAGGCTTGGATGATCCAAGCGCCTACAAGCCGGGCACGGGACTCACGGAGTTCGGCATTTTTGTGCCACTTGGATCCACTTGGCACACGGAGTGACGGAGTTCGGATGAGTTCGGATCTCGCATGATCTCGCTGTGGAGTGATCGTCTCAGGGATCGGGGGTTTGCCATGGTTTGCCATGTCCATCAGCTAAGCTTGAGAAAGCTACTTAATGATACTTAATGCATGTTCATGCAGAGATATAGGGTCATAGGTCCCCGATTGCACAGCTCTCGAAGTTTTGGGACTTTTGGGGTTTCAACATGTTTCAGCTGTTTTGTATGCGACTAGGCCTGATGTGGATGCGGCAAAGAGTGCAGCACAGAAGTTGGGCTATGCAGAGGCTGGTTTCCGCACGATTCGGGAGGTGTTTGACCGGCAACTTTTTCGACCGCGGTGATGCAAAATAGATGCCTTCCATTTGGACCCAGGGTTTCTGTCAGAACAGAAAGTCCAATGACCTGAGAATGCCTGCGATAAGGAGCTCCCAGCGTGCATACCAGAGGAAATTGCATAGGTTTGTGTTGACGTGTTAGACGTATGATTATGTAAATTTGTATACTTGTACCAGCTTCGAACTAGTTTCTGAATGGTTCCAAAGGAAGCGGCCACTCACAGATCCATGATCCCACATGATCCCATTCTGTTTCCAGCCCCAGGAAGAGGGCTGCATCGTTGGCCCCGACAAATACCGTTGCTGGACAAAAATGGTTTGGGAACGTGCAACTACGTCAGTGGCCAGTTCCACGCACAAGATCTTACAAGTAACTTCCGATTCCAATTCTAGCAATGCCTGAGCTATTGGATTGAAACGACTCCGGACGCAACGACTTTGATTTGGTACCCAGAAGCATGTATGACCGAACGCGTTCGGTTTTGAATGTCTCCCCCATCGAAAGGAACAGAAAAATACGTTGTTGATTGACGGAAGTCGAAGAAGAGAGATGCATGATACCTGTCAAAGTTGCTGAATTGAAATATCTATAACATCCGATTCAAAAGTGAAATAGTCAGCGTCAACTTTGTCAACGTCAACTGATTGTTCTTTTTGATCCCCTTTGATCATCTTTGATCCCCCGGGGATTGGCACCAGGTTTTCGGCTCTTTCCAATGCCCAGTGACCGCAGCGAGCACTTCCTCTATGCTCTTTGGCAACGACGGGGGGATCGGTAACTTACCTCAGAGATACAACATTCTTGGCTCTTGGGACCATCCTCATGAAAGGAAAGTATGATTGGCCAGTGCAAAGTGCAAGAACTATCCTGTCGGAACTGCAGGAACTGTGGGACTATCCCAGTGGGACAACTGCGATTGAATGAGAGCTACAGACTGTCAAGATCTGTCAAGAATGCATTTCTTCCAGCTGTCGTTGAGCTCCACAGAGCTTGGATGATCCTTGGATGTTCACTTTTATCGCAGCATTCTGAGATATTCTGAGCATTCTTTTTTCAGGTTCCCATGCTCCAGGTGATGTGCCGCTCGGGGAACTTGGCCAAGACAGTCGGTTTCTACAAGGACGTGCTGGGCATGTCCGACGTGGCAGTTCCCGAGTTGGTCCCCAAGAGGGGTTCCTCCATGGCGGCTGTGAGCCGCTTGGCAATGCTTGGTACAGATTTCACACCCCTTCAGTGGCTTCGATCTGACACTGACACAGTTGTGCTACATTTGTGCTACATTTGTGCTACATTTGTGCTATTTCAATCATCATTCATCTACATTATGTATCAATTTCCTGGATGTTGAGATATGTTGAGGCTATACCTCCAAGACGCATCCACATCAGCGTGAGCCAGTGATGCTGGCCCCTGGGCAACAGTATTGTTATTGCTATTGCCATGTCAGGATTTTCCTGCTGACACAGACTCATTTAAAGGTTTTTGTGGGGAAGCGGAAATTGTCCCTGTACAAACATGTCAAGTTCCCTCATAAACTTAGAAGTGAAGGTGATTTCTACACTCAACAGCTGGTCCCAGTTGATTTCACTCTGCAGGTTTGGTATGAGGATGGAATCAAGCCTCAGCCAACACCATGGGAAGGCAGACATGCCTTGGGATGCTCGGCCAACTTCGATATTCCTGGGTCCGGCCCAGCTTCGGTCAGACTCTAAATTTGGTGCAGCTGATGTCATCCACGGAGGCTTCAAATGACTCACAACAAGTGATGTTGCATCTATGGATCTCTCGTTCATCCACGCCACGATTCCATCATGAATCATATATCATTTCCATATCATTTCCATCAGAGGATTGGATGCAGAGGAGATTAAAGCACTCCATGCCAGGCTTGTGGGGCGGGAAAGAATGAATGGAAAGAGAGCTCGATGCAAGTTGAAGAGAATCCAAAAGGGCGATGATTGATTATAGATATGTCATGATATGTCATATTTGTGTTGGCTTAATCAGATCTGGAGAGTGTGGGATCACTCAGGTTGTTGTTTCATAGCGTTTGGCTCCTTTAATTGAAATAATTCAAGTTTTGCCACGAACCAATGCTTAAAAAAAATATGATCGATCAAATGTACCACATGTTTTTGCGACGTGTTGTTTTTGCACGCTGCAAAAGTTGCCGGCCCATTGTCTCAATCCATCTTGTCTCAGATCAAGGGCATTCATGTCACTACATGAATCCACCTAGGATCTACAGGCCCTGACCCAAGTAGCTCTATGTTTGTGAAGCCTTTTGCGATGTGTTTGCCATGGTCATTCTTTGTCCAGTTGCAGGTATCAGAAAGAGTTCCCTGATAAGATCATGCCACTTGGTTCCTGCGTTTGGGAGGTTGAGAAACCGAGAATGATTGGGAGACTCAAAGTCAACAAGCTAAAACTATCAAGTAACTACTAAGTCTCTAAAGCATTGGAAGTGCTTGGTGATCTGACTGTGTTGAATCTGTGTATATGATAGAAAAAGGAAAAAAGCAAGCATCATCAAATGAGAGACATTGATGTTGCTTGAATGGTTGCATTTTTGAAACAAAAACAAGTCACAACTGATCCAAATGTTCCAGGATTTCTTAAATATACCGGTGGGAGCATGGAAAGCCACGCGATTCCTTGCAGGGTGAAAGGCATGAGGAGTCCTGTTGCAGGAGAAATTCATATGTTGCAGCAGAAATTGCACAAAGTCTCTTGGTGAGGGTATTTGGGGCACATTTGTAGCAAAAGACTGCTATGAGTGGCTTCCGAATTTGCTGCGACTTTGAAGCCAAGGCATCAAGGGGATGCTGGACCTATCTCTCTGCAGGACAAGGGGGAGAAATGTTAAGAATTGGATTCATTTTGACACCAAAATCAAGAAGTGACAATCCAAAGTGTGCGAATCCACTTTACATCGGAGAAACCCAATCTGGTAGTTTGCAGGTCATGTCATTGTCCTGTCAACCTCCAGCGACAGGAGAAGTTGGGGACGTTGTTCATTTTCATCGCCAGAGATATTGATGGCCCCTTCAGCGGCAGCACAGGGACGGGACTTCGGGACTTGAGCCAAGACTTCGATTGAGATTTTTGAGTGAAAAGGGTCCTGATGCGGTTTGGGATGGTTTTGATTTGTTTGAGTATTGGAGTATTGGTTGTAAAGGCATTGTAAGTTGTAAGGCATTGTAAGGGTTGGTTCTATTCACTTTCCTTGGTCAGTTTCGAAAGGGTGCTTTCATCCACTTGGACCAAAGTTCCGAGGCTACGAGATGTGCTATGTCTCACGAGAAACCATGCTGCCAGCAGTTGTAGAAGCAGTGACCAACTACGATGGCAAGGCCGGAAATGATGATGTGTGGCCACCACCTGCCATGCAGTCTCCGTGCTGTTGCTAAAATATAGGTAACGGAAGGTTTGTTTCCTTGGAGCATTCCAATAGTCGATTTATGTCGATTTTAAAGAAACTCAGAACTGCCATCCTGACTCAAATTATCTCAAACCTGTTTGCCTGTTTGTTCACTGCTTATATTTCCATTCTATGTTTGCTATGTTTCTTCCACCTCGTGAGTCTCGTGAGGCCCTGGATTGGACTGCCAGGCAGTCGCGCATTGAGAAGATTGCGGCCGCTGGAAAGCAGGCAACACTCTCAGCTGCTCATGTTGTAATATGTTGTAATGTTATATATGTTGTAATATGTGTTGTAATAAATATAAGTATAGGTACTATATAGGTAATATTCGCATCGAATGATATGTGTCTCCCAATTGTGGAATATTGTGGAATATTGTGGAATACCGTAAGTTGATAATGGGTCTGGAGTATCGTTGAGGTAAAAATCCTCGAATCCCGTCAGGTTGAAGAGCTGCTCTCCAAGCATTCCGTGGCTGGGGCTCCTGGCTGCGGCCCAACCGTGGCGTTCAAAAAATCGCATACGTCGTATACGTCGTATGAGCTCAGCTGAGGTCTTGTTCTCCAAGGAATGGTGCCCCTTCTGCAAAAAGGCACTGCAGATGATTGGATGATTTGGATGGGATGAATCGGATGAGTCATGATGAGTCATGATGTTTCAAATAATTCAAATAATTCAAATAGTTGAGCGCATGCTGGCAGTTGAATGACAGAATACTACGGGATGGTACTTGAGGAAGGAAGGAAAGTGGTTACTCGTTACTGCACACGTCCACTCTGTGGAATTGTGACTACCGACCTAGTTCATGAAAAGTTGAACATAGCATGACAGTGCACAATGTTGCATGGGTGCCTTTGGTAATTTTCAATGTACCAAGTGCCAATCAAGACCACAAGTGTCACAAGACCCCCATTAGTGTCATTAGTGATCACTTTGTATCTTTTGTCATCCTTTTGCTGTGAATGTTGACCCTGACAGAGGCGAAGAATGCCTTCGACAGCATCGAGGCAAAAGTCTTCATTAAGGCGACGCTGCCTGCAGAATGCATTACTCTATCATGCTTCCAAGCCAAAGGCTGTGAAGATGCATTGGCAGCTTGAGAGGGTTTTGTTTAGTATCCTGCACAATGTTTAATCGCATTTATGGACTATGACATCTCAACCCAGACATCCAGGAATAACTCAAGATCAACCACTTCATGCATAAGGGGTCCTCTGACTGAGAGCAACAGGTCCAAGTCAACAAACCACAAGGTCAAGCAAAAACAAAGCTATCTCTCTCAAACGTTCTCAAACTATGTAGTCCATGTGAATATATGTGAATTAGGTGAGGCTAAAATGCAAATTGAATGATAATTGATGATACTTTATTCGTTCTTTTAGACTCCAATTGAGATTGCGTCAGCATCCAGTTTGGGTGCAGTGCAGTGCCACTCCACAGTCTTCCTGTCCAGGGATTGGGGTGTTGGTGTTTGCCTTTGCCTACCGGTCACAGAAGAATTGAACCCTCTCCTCTTGTCGCATCCACAGGAGCTGGAGAACATCGACACTTGGTCACAAGTGTTGACTAGTGATGTCAAGCCCAATGAGGTTTGACCGGTTTGACAAATACGTAAGTGATTTAGCAACAAGCACTGTTTTACACAGCAAACTATCGCAAACACCTTTGTGATAAAAGCACTGTTTGTTTCATCCTGTGACCATCTACCGGGATCTACCGCCTCCAAGATGGAGACCTCCGGAGCACCGAGGACAAGAAGCCTATCGTCGAAGATCCTATGGCCTTTCAGGAATACCTGGCGGCTCCTTGGAAGAAACTGCTTATCAGATGCGGATCCGGGGTGAACCGTATCCAATTTATCCATATCGATCCAATCTTATCCAACCAAATCTGGTGCTCCCTGTGCTCCATGGTTGAAACATGCAAAGACCCGTTATGAGACATCCGTGACAATCCGTGACATCCCTCCATCTCGGAGCCAGATATCATCCAGTCCAGGCCAAGACGAATGCTGGCAAGAGTGTGCCAAAGGTGCGATGTGTTGGGAGATGGTTAACCCAAAGACTATTGACATCTATTGACTATACACATCTATACACTATACGGAGACTATACGTGTTAAAGAAGAAAGTACATCAGATGTGCTTAGAATATTTAGAATATGCATCTAAGCGGAACCCAAAATGGAGAGGCGCGGAGGTTTCCCAACCAGGTACTAGTAGAGAAACACCATTGCCAAACAACGTGAAAATCAAGCTGTGAGGAAATTCTAATTAGTGATTCCAGAGATTCAGTCTCAGATGCTTCATCCATGATCCAAACGTTTCGCACTTTTTTTCATGGGATGAGTTGAAAACAGCAAACGACCAAGCAACCGCCAATTGGCCAATTGATTGCGACGACCCAGGGCTTCATCAAAGGTGAGTTCATTGGAGGAGGCGATGACATCGTCGATCTCAACAAACGCGGTGTTCTCTTGGAGAAATGTCGCCTGGCCTTGCTGGCCTTGTCATGATTTGGCCAGGTCACCGCACCAACTTGGCAAATTTGGGTACCCATTTCAGTTGTGGTTACAAGGATCGGTTTCCTGCAGCGTAAAGACATTTCTTGGATTTCTAGGGTTTCAAAGGTTTGAAATCACAAGAAGGGGTACAGGACTCTAGAACAAAACATCGCAATACAAATTCAAGTTCCCAATGAAATCCTGTAGGGCTTCGCAGGAGAGATTTCATTTCAAAACACTCTCTGAAGGTCCTCCTACAATTCCATCAGTTCAATTTCTTCCCATCACAGTTTGTGATTATTTTTACTGAGGGTGAAGTAGTATGAAGTAGTAATGTTTTCGAAAAAGACCAATCACCGGAAAATCCGGATGAATAGATACCATGGATTTCATCAACGATGCTGCAAATCCCATTAGATCCTCAGTCAAAACATTTCAAAATTATCAAAGCCCAAAGCCATCTTCAAATCAAAGGTGTGGCAGCTGGCGCCGCAGAGAAGAAAGTTGCCGAGGAGGTCTGCTAGCGGTTTTTTTCGGGCTGTGGTGTGAACTGCATAGCAACACATGTATTTTTGACATCTCGAGAAAACGACAATTGGATCACCTTTTCGGGCGGCCATTCGGGGTGCCAGAAATATAGAAGAATGTCACAATGTCCTTCAACAATTCAGTACCATGTCACTGACAACCCTCCCTGAATTTCCCAAGCCAGTCGTGTTTCGCCTGTTGAAACTTGGGGAATTCGGGGTCCTGTAGATCCACACCACCACACCATGGTGATGAAATCCACGTGCAATGAGGCTGAGCTAAAGTTCTTCTTCAATGGCATCCGCCCCAGACATCGCCCTCATGGGTTGTTGTGGACATACGACCGGGTGAAGAAAATCAGGGGACAGCCCAGTGGACAAACATGATTTGGGTGACATCATTGTGACATCGTGACTTCCCTCTTGACATCCCTCTTGACATCCCTCTTCAGGTTCCAAAGTCTCGAAATCCGAGTGGGCCAAGTGTGCTGTGTAAAGCCGAGCCGCACCCGCAGGGTCTCCCATGGCAGCTAAGGTTTTCGGATACCGACCAAAACTGTTTTGTGGTGTTTTTTAACCATCACAGCGGGGTTTGACTCCGTGTGTTCTCTTACATATGCCATTTCAGGCTGACATCATTCTGACCAAGTGATGGTTGTTTTGAAGTCTTGTTTGAGTTTCAAACAGTTTTACATCCCAAAAAAAATGACCTCAAAGAACTTCAAAGTCAGGATCCACGGTGCAGCTGGCCCCATGGCTGACTCTGCGGTTGCACGTTAATATGCGTTAATGTTCCCCACTGGCACTTTGAGAAAACGTGTAAACGCCTTACCGCAGACTCGACTTCACAAATACGAATCAAAGTAGCGTTCCAAGATAGACTGTTGGATAGAAGAAGCCGTTGACTGTGAACACAACTCTTGACAGGTCCTCTTCGTTTCCCGATTTCAATGCTGTTTCAACAAATGCCTGGTGACACCGTGCCTTCCGCCAATTTGGTAGCCACGAATGACTAGCAAGAGACACCGTTGGGCCTGATCAGTCTGATCAGTCAATTAGATTGTTGTGGAACAATTGGTCTGCCTTTCTGAAAACTCAGCTTGTTTTACTGTAGGCTTCAGGGGAGGAAGGGGCAACTCGCCATACGACAGACTCAGACCCAACTGTCCTTGCTGATATGTGTGTTCCCAGTCGCCGGAGTGAACGTTTTGTCTCCAGGTGAGCTTCACCTCTTTATTTCTGTCCTTTCTTGTTGGGTGAAGTTGTGTGTTCCTGTTCAATTGTGCCTTTCATTGTAGAGACTCCAAATTTGACATGCCGATTTAGCTTCGCAGTTGGCGAGGCATGTCGCATCGGGTGTGCGATCTCCAAGTGGGTGATGGTTTCTCGGAGATTCCAACACTTCCAACACTTGCCAAGTTTGTGGAGGTGACACCCTTTGCTTTTGCCGTACCGTACAGACGGCTACGACATGGCTGCTCTGGAACAACCTGAAACAGTGAAGCTGATATAAGATTTTTACAAGCAGACTGTTTGATTTGCATTTGTAACACAGCAGTTTCAGAAAGAGGCATGTGTATCAATCTTCTTGTGTTGTCTTGCATGCAATCAACATTGATCGTTTCCCAACTACATACATGTCCTATACAGAAAGGAACCTGCAGAAAAATGTATTTCAGGTATCCACCAGCAAAGGACACTTGCATGCAAATAAAACTTGTCAACTTTGAATTTTTGTGTTTGTTTCTTTAGACATGCGGATGCCACAATGTTTGGTTGAACTTTGAACTGACCATGTTTCGTTGGTCTTTACTCGGCATCATGACCATCCCAGACGAGCGGAGCGTGACATGGTGCGACATGCCAAAACCCAAGCAGTGACCCTTTGACTAGTCCTGTTTTCAAATCATTTGTGCACTGGTTGTTTCATGTTGTTTCCGGGTTACCAGAAGCGCCTTACATAGAGTCCAGATGCGTGAGCAGCGAAAAAGGTGCTAGCCGCTAGCCGAATTTTCTGTTTGAAAACGACTCGTGTGTGCAGTGGGCTACCCCGGATTGGGGCGAGTTGAGTGGGCCATTCACATAGATATCATAGATACAGAGGGGGAAACCTTCAGTTTGGTTTCTCAGAAAGGGAATGGGGATGGGGATGGGGATGAGGCGGAGGACTTCCGATGCTGGTGTAATTGAAAAATAGGAAAGCATGAAAACTGCAAAGGAACTAAAGGAAAGCAGAAAAGGTTTACAAACAGCTCAGCCGTTTCACCTCATGTCTCGCGAGGCAAGAGCCACAGCTGGGCTCGAGGGTGGTAGCCTGGCTGATGAAGGGTAGGGGTGCCTGGAGAAGGCCCCCACTTGAAGTGTCTTGAAAATAACACTTGAAGAACTAATTGACCATATTTTACCAACTTGGAAACTTCGGTTTACGCCCAACCATATGACTAGCTTTAGAAGAATCAAAAGGTACTCGTAGAATATTTGAACACCGTGGGTGTTTCAACCACACACGAATCCAAATTGAGTTGCTCCATCGGCGCAGCATGTTTGCTCAGGTTGCTGGATGCAGCAGTGGATTGCATCGGAGAGGCAAAATGAAGCTGTCGAGCTGTGGTCGACGTTGGAAGTAGCCTTGCAAAAGGATGTGCCGATGTGCCGAATCAAAAGATAAACTTGAAAACCAAGGTCTATGTTGAACATTTATGTTTAAAAGGCTGCTTTTTGAGCACAATTAAACTGTTTATTCAACAGTTGTCCTGAAGAGCAAAATAATTATAGACTACCCAGATCCCTCAAAAGGGCGGTCGATTTGAGGAAAGACCATGGAAAAACCATCCCGATAAAGTCCTTCAGTGCAACGTGCAGCAAAGCCTCCAACCCAGGCATTTTTGAACCACTCCAGACGGCCAAAGGCGGGCAGCTTGTTGGAGGAAGACCTTGGACTGGATACCTTAACAAATTCGATGGACAAAGACAGGTCAAAGTTTCAGAGGTTGTGGAATTTCCCGAAAGCAATGGTGTTAATGATCAGTTCACACATTTTTTGTTGCATCTTTCTGGCTCTGCCAGCTGCCAGGGAAATACATTTTAGCTGTTGGTAGTCAGTGCTTTTTTGACAGATGTAGGAGGTCCCCCAACAGAAACTCATCGACCCGCATCTACACGGTGGAAGACATACCATCGCGTACCCATCTATTTCATTTCTATTTCATAATTTTCAGAGGTTGCGAATGAATGCTCGAGTCATGACGTGCACCAAGTTCACAGGTTCCTACAAGCTGCTGACTCTTCGGTATTACCTTTACTTGCAATAGACAAATACACAATGACAGTCAAAGCCAAAGAACAACAATAGGTAAAGCCAGTATTCGTCAGAATCGGTGACAGGTAGATTTGATTCATCTTAGGATTATTCCACTGACTGTAAGCACGGCAGGTGCTTGTCTTGGGCTGCGGCCTCTCGCCCTTGGTCTATGTCCTTGCTGATACCTTTCCGCATGTCGGGAGCCTGAAGTTCCGAGGAAGAGGACCATCTTGGCCACTTGAGGTGATGATTGGGTTTGTGGAAGATAAATCCTGGTGGCTGGAGTCAAACTGTATAAAATCATTAAAATCAGGAGATGTAGATTTTCGACATTTTTCGACCATCCTCGGATTGTAGACATTCCTTTCCTCTCTACCATTGCCACATATTGCCACCGAAGACCGAGGTGACTGCTGGTTGTATGGAGCTATCGCCCACCCTCCTGGAGAGTTTGGAGGTTCGACATCCATAAAGTGCCATAAAGTGCCAAGTGCCATAAAAGTGCCTTTTGTGACTTTTTGTGGCACTTGTTGTTTTCCACTCTGGAGGCCATGGCATTGCCGTTGCCTCGACCTCCCAAGTTCTTCGTGCAAGCTGATATCACCGCCACTCGTCACCAGTGCTGGCCATTGCCGATTCACTGCTTGGTGACTAATTGCACTATCCGACACTATCCCATTTTGATAGATAGTTCATGATAGTCCCAAAAGCCAACCATTTCGCTACAGGCACTTCGACGACGACGTGGAAAGGATTCACAGGCAGGGTAGTATGGGGTGTGAAGGTCAGAAAAATTAGCCAATAGTTGTCCTGATCCATTCATCTTCAGCCATATACTGTAGCCAAGGTTGAACAGCATAGATTTTGTGTGCTTTTAGCTTATTTTATCTGTGTGTGTGCAAATTCTGCAAGGCAAACAGCGGAAAGGAATGGTTTGCACTAGATTGAATGTAGGATTCGTCCTGGTTCTGATTAAGAGAAACACAAGAAACCTGCTCTGAATTTCAACTAAATGTCTCAATAACTTGATAGAAATTCCAGCGTGCATAGCTCAGGGACCCTGTGACTTCCAGTGGTATCCAGCCAGTCTTAGCCTACTCTGTTGGATAAAAGGGTAATCTTAGCGTTTTCGGCATGGGTTGGCAAGGGATTTTGAGACCGGCAACTGAACCGCAGGTGTTGAAGCCTGGGTCCTTCGATGTGGCTGGGACTGGAGATGACTGGAGACCTCAGCATGCCTCAGCATGACTTGCATTTGTTCAGTATGGCCAAAATCAAAACTGCATTGCCGTCTTAGGTAGGTGTCCTAGGATACTTTTGTCGCAGGATGTGAGGAGCCCTGAATGATGAACCTTGTTTTTTAGGTAAACGACAACAAGTGATTTGTCTAGTAGTTACTTCATGGAACTTCATGCATCCTGAATCCATCTGGATCCTCTCTGGTGAAGATTGGAAGCGGAACAAGCGCTCGAAGCTGCGAGTCAAGGTCCTCGTGGATGAGAACGTCCTGGATGGAATGGCACGGATTCCTGGAAGCCGACGGATGGGAGGTTGGAACTAAATCGGAGATCAGAAAGCTTAACAGGCTTAACATTTCCAAGAATCCTTAGACATATAATAGACATATAATAGACATATATGATCATATATGGACATCCTGCAAACATCCTCAAATTTCCATGTATTTGTCCAAACGTCTTTGAATCCATGGGTGAGCATGGCAAGCATGGCAAGCATGGCAGGCCTGCCGCTTCCCCGCGAGCAAGGGCCTGGCCTCCCTGCGCGAGGCTGGGAGTCGTAAGCCGCTGGTAAGCCGCTGGTAAGTTTGGTAAGTCTATGTGTGGGTCAAACCCACCTGTTACGGTCATCAAGTCTTAGACGGTCATGGTCACTGGGGACATGGTCTTGGCTGAATGAAATTGCTGGCATCAACAGCAGATGAACCTGGTGATGTCTCATGCTTTGCGGACCTGTTGTTTTCCAATCTGCTGCTCACCGATTTTCCTCTAGACAACTCCAGTCGTGTTGTTTCTATTCCCTGTTCGGTGGTTGAGATACCCTTAAATCCGCTATTGCAGTATGAAACACATGAAACATTGATATTGAAAGATGGATGTTTCTTGGAATATTTCATCAATGTTCTATACCGTTGCTGTTCATCAAAAATTCGGCGTAGAGTAGTCGCCACAAACATTCAGGAAGTCTTCAGGGAGTCTTCAGGGAGTCTTCAGGAAGTCTTCAGGAAGTCTTGAAACCCAAAGCTCAGGCCTTGGACGGCATCGCGTGGCTGCTGAAGCCCCATGGTCGATTGATCACGACCGATGCTGGGGGGGGTCCAGCAACGATGGTGACATGCCAATTTGCGACTCAAGAAACAACAATTTCAGGCATTGCTAGGACACCAGGATGGACACAAAAACGTTAATCTGAGCTACAGGGAAATTGGATGCAATGAAGATGTGAAACGATGTGAAACGGCTGCAATTAGAGGGCCCAAAGGCCCAAAGCAGCAGATCTAGAGATATGATGAGATATGAAGCCTTTCAGATTTGCCAAAGCAAAGCACTGGGGAAATTCTGTTCACCGATGTCGGGGTGTTGCGGTTCACCCAACTCGCAGATTCTCAACCTCCATGAGCTCGAGGATTTCCTTTGCACCTCTAACAGAGGGACCATACTTGGAAGCCTTCGAAGACTGGGTCCCTTGCTTTGACCAGCATCAAGACCTTTTTGAAATGCTCCGTTCAGAACCGAACCTCCTCCAGCCCAAACCATGTTGAACGTGGTTGAACGTGTTGAATCTGGACAATCTGGACATTGCTTCAATCACTCTCCAGTGACCATGGATTTCATGGTGACAGCGAAATACCAAGGCCTTGATGCCTCCCTGCGCCTTGCAGCGTGACACAATTCACGTTGCCACCTGGACAAAGATGCAGAGAAAAAGAACATAGCTGCGGCCATTGTCAGCGGCATATCTTACAGCTCGGGGTTTGCTCATCATTGGCATAATAGTTATACATAGTTATACCATGTTGTTATTAAGATGTAATTAACATGTTATACCAGTTATACCAGTTATACCATCTCTCCACAGTGGGTGTTTAGGGCATGGTGTTTCCGTGTTTCCGACTCCAGGAGGCGCTGAACTTTCTGGATGCAGATCCATTGTGGCTCTTCGGCATTGCAGTTGGGCACCTCAGCTTGGCGCGGTGCAAACCCCAACAGGGCCCCAACACTGACACCAACCGACACCATTTCCTGGATCCCAACATAACGTGGATCCACAGCGTCCCTTTCGACATTTTCGACATTTTCGACATTTGCGTTTTGTCACAGGTGTGGAATTTGCACGGTCGAAATATGTCGAAATGCTCGACTCAGAGTCAAATCACAGTTGCTCCATGGCAAAAGAGTTTGGTGGTGCATTGCTGACTATGCGCATATGCTATCATATGCTTCCTTCTCAACGTGAAATTCGTTGTTGAGACATGTTGAGGCATGTTGAAACGTTCGATGGTGAGCATGGCCAGCATGGCCATGGCTGAGGACCCAGCAACTCAACGGGCACTCGAAAAGACAGCAGTGGTCCGGAGACCAAAACAGCGGGCTGCGGTGCTGTGACCAAAACGCATGGCCATCGGCGACACTGGTGACCCTTTGGAGGAGAGGTCATTGAGGTCATGGAATGTCAGGTGTCAGAATCGAACAGAGTTGGCACGTGACGTTCCAAGCAATTCTGGTGCCGACGAGTTGAGGTGCCAATGCTGAGATGTATGGGTCATAGGCCGTGCATTGAAGAGTGGTTCTCGCCCGGAGACTTAGATTCAGTGTTGGGTGATAGCGTAGAGGAGTTGGAAAATTTTGGAAAGTATATTTGTATTAAATCATGCTGGGGAAGGACAACAGTGAAAATGATGAAAATGTTTGTGCATGCTGCAAAAGTTAAAAGAATTTGCTTTTGGCATTCTCCTTCCTGAGATGTTGACCCATACCAGGCATCAGGCATCAAAACCTCCCCGAAAGGGCTCGGAGATTTGGGGGGTTGATGATTGCCCCATGCCATTCCACGGTGATTTCAAAATGATTCCAGCGGGGCAACAAGCACTGCTTTTTTGGGGTTCATATGGGGTTCTACCGAACATTCCCGAACATTCCCAAGAGAATGCAAGCATGTGATGTGCACAGATCAGCATGTTTGAGTGTGTTTAAGATCCTGACACCAAGGTATCTCAATGCCGATGAACAAGGTGATGCTCCTTTTAGACTCTTGGTTGCATGGTGCTGCCCAAAAAAAACCAATCACGACTTGGAGCCCCAAATCCAAATGCCTTAAAAGAAAAACCGTTTTGGTGAGGAAAGATTTGGCACAGATTGTTTTGGTGAGGAAAGATTTGGCACAGATTCAAATTCGTCACGACTGCGTTTCAATGTTGGTTTGTTTCAGATTTGCAATACTTTATGAGCCTTATCAGCATTTCATCAAAGCAATCATCCAATGTTGTTTCAATCATTGTCGCAGCTCCTTTGCTCCCTAGGATGGGTCGTTGAGAGCTTTGCGGAGGTGGGAAATGACTGTGGCAAACACTGACGAATGCTGACTATCGTTTGTGTTGATCTTGTTGTTCCATGTGGTTCTTTGATACGAAAGAGATCCAAAAAGCATCGATTCTATGGTTCATATTGAAGTTAGTACTTTCATATTGAAGTTCTGAAGTTCCTGGTATTTCCTGGTTTCCCATCTCCAGGTGGAGTTGCCTGAGCCGTGGACATCCTTCAAGGGAGTCGGCTCAGTGGTGTGTTACCTCAACAATGAGCAGGGCACCTCAGACAGATCAACCGGGATCAACCGGGATCCGGGATCAACGATAAATCAACGCGCCCACAGCTGTCTGTTAGATTCTGTTCGAATTCTGTTAGATTAATGGAAATCAAACGTACCCAGAGCGTTTTGCAAAAAAGAATTGTAAGGAATTCAGAGACCAAAAAGATGCATCAAAGATGCATAAACGAACAAGCACAAAGATATCACCTGCCAGAGTGTTCATTCTTTCTCCTTTGCCAATTTGCCACAGCCGTTTTTACATCTTTGTGGCTCTCGCATCTTCGTGACAGGACCAACGAAACAACTTGGAAGCATCCCTTCTACGACTACTTCGTTGGGATCACCAGAAGGGGGGTGACACCTTTTGAAGTTGGCTATGCGGTGCATAAAGTATTCGTTATATCAGTTAAATCCCTTTCTTTCCAACATTTTCCAACTGGTCTTGATTACAGACCCCAATAGTTTGTTGTTTGTGCACCATGGCTTGTTTACATGTGAACTCCACAACAAGCACCAAGAACATCCAAGAACATGACATACATTTTGCCTCGGCAAAGGCGCAGTTGTTAAATCACTGTCGAAGATCAACGTGGTTCCGCCATGTTGCAAAGCTTCAATGGAGCTTTGGGGTCAGTCTACCCCCAAAGGTGGTATTGATAGGGCAGGTTGGCAATGATCAAAATCTCAATATCATTGAAAGAAAGATGGAAGATAGACTAGTATTGGATTTAGAAGACTCTGAAAACTCTATATTCAACATGTGTGTGTGTTATCAATGTTTGTATCCTCAGACCACTGGTCGATTGAAACGAATGTTTTTTTACACTCAGTGCAAGACATCTTCAGTCAGCTCGACGGCCAGGAACGAAGAGCACATCAAGCTCCGAATCAATAGATTTCTTTGGTCCTATGAGGCACCGAAATCATTCGAAATCATCCGAAATCGTCCTATTCTCTCCTGGCATAGACACAAGACGGACAAGGTCGACCGGCACACGGCAGGCCGAGTCACAAACAGATGTGCAGTCGCAGATGCCTTTGGTGTCTCCCAAGTGAGCTCACGGAACGGACCGAACTTGTTGGGATCCATGAGTTCCATGATTTTCCGCTGTTGCAGCAATACCGCGAGTGCCTTCCAAGTCTGCAGTGTTCCACCATGCTACCCTTTCGGTAGACACGAATACAGATACATACATACGTATACGTATATGTATATATATATATATACATATTATAATATATATATATAATATGTGTGTCAAAGGGAACTAAACGCTAGGACACTTATCATGTACATATGTGATTGTGCATTGAAACGCCGTACTGGCTCAAGTCCCTGCGCGAGGAAAAGTCCGAGCTCCGCTTGCAATGCCATAACGCTGTCCAAAGCTACCAGCATAACGGGTATCACAGCTCAATAACTACATCCAGAACAAGGATCAATTTGTTCACAGGTTATCAGCCGTAGGGCTCACTTCTCCCGCCGGGAGAGTGGTACCTGCGTGCTGGTAGCCGGGCCGTCTGAGCAATTGATTGAGGACGCAAAGGACCAATCAGCTCATCATCGCAAAGATGCAAGGCGGCAGCGGAGATTCGCGCACCACGCAGTTTACCTTCAATGAGAACGCTGCTATGCCGGTCGAGGAGGTCAATCAATCTTCCCCTGGCGACACGGCAGACAGTGGCGGGATACGCTCTACCCGAACTACACAGTCCGGATGGCAAGTCACATCAAACAGACGAAGAATATCCACCCAAAGTACACCTAGATCTTCTCGAAACAGTGCTCGGAGTGATGTTGTCCGCCAAGGGCATCGACCATCTCGAGGACGTACTACTCCAAGGGACAGATCCACCAGGGCCGTGACCGACCGAATTGGTGAGAGGACCGGGGATAGTCGTGTTAAGAGGAGATCAACGGATACTTCTGTGGCTAGTGAACCTATTGCCATGATAGAGGAACTACGGGCACAATGTCAATCCCTACGTAATCAGCTAAACAACATGGAAGCGTACGCTGCATCCAGGGATCAACTGATTCATGACATCGAGATCAGATTCACTGAGTATCTTCGGGAACACAATCAGAATGTATTTGATGAGGTCAATGCACTCAATCATAGATTGTCATGTTCTGCAAATGAGGTTGCAGAATATCAAGCAGAACTAATGGTAGCATCTCAGGAAGACGAAGGTGCAACAATACGCATCCAAGACCTTGAACGCCGAGGTGCCCTAATGGAACATGGTGCACGACGGATCCATCAACGTGGTATGGAGATCCAGGAGGAGTACAAGGATGAAGTACATCACCTTCAAGGACTACTGGGTAATACGGAGGCAAGACTACAACAACTTCATCAAACCAATGTCTTAACCACCGATATTGCCAATCGACTATACAATGAAGGTCAAGAAATGCAAAATGATTTCCAGAACTCAATCATGGAATATCGTAATCGATCTGAAATGGCATCCTTCTCTAGTAATCAACTTGAAGTGATTAGCCAACAACAATCAATTGCAGTTCATGAATTATCTGAGCGAAATCAGCTATTGAGTGAAGCTTTGGTTCAGTCTCGTAAACAGGCCGAGCTGTATGAGAGCAGTATTGATGAGATCACTAGAGAATCTAGGAAGAAGGTGTTCGAGGCAAATCAGGCCAAATTGGAAAGTGATCTGAAGCATCGAAACACTGAACATGATACCGTCAGAAGAATTGCATCATACAGGAACCAAGAGGCCGAAGCAATATCTCACCTGAGGCTTGAATCACAGGCTAGTGCAAACTCGATCGCAAGGGCAGAGCACTATGAGGAGCTCTATGCCAACGAGCAGAAGATGAACTGCGAATTGAAGGATGAAATCAAGTTGCAGAACACGAAGTTACGAAGATCGTTGACTCAGGGTTCTACGACCGACGGTCGTGGCCCCGAAGAGATGCTTGTTGAAGATCTACGTAATCAAGCTAAGATCGCTCAAATCAGGGTTCAGGATCTAGATCATGAAGTTCATGAATGTTTACAAGAGAACTTGTTGTTAAAAGAAAGGCTGGCTGAAGTTGCGGATGTAGGGGCGTCGTCCCTCACCAATGCTGAGGTCCGAACTCTAAGATCTGAACTAGAGAGT